AAAATTTCTGGATCTAATAATTATCAAAGAAAATGTTATTGAGAAAAATTCTTTACTGTAATTTTTCTTGCGTAGTACCCACAATATGTGAAAAACTCAATAAAATGATAATAAACTCGAGAAGAAAAGCATAAGGTCAGAAAACCTTTGAGAATTTTCATCTAAACTATAGGTTGTATTTATAAGCAAAATTGGCGCGCGAGGGCATTAGTTTATAATTAACCACTATAGATATGGATAATGCAAAGGAAAGTCTTTGTCATCAATATTTACCTGATATTGCTGAACTTGTTCGTTTTTTACGACAAAACAATATGAAACAGACTGAATTATGCTTCCATCGTGAATATCATTCACTTGGTAATAAAATTTCATTAACAAATGATAATCAATATATTCATAATTCAATAAATGTTAATGATTATTTTGTTGTTTATTCATGTCTATCAAATTTTATATTTAATTCTTCATATCAAATAGAACTTATACAATGTTTATTTCCATTATTTGTACATTTTTATTTAGATTTAATTGAACATAATTATATAAATGAATGTCAATATTTTTATAATCAATTTATTCATTCAAAATTTCAATTATTACATGAAGAATTTTTTTATCAATTAAAACTTATTTCAAAATCATCTAAACATTTTTATCAATGTCCATTAACAAATGCATTTCGTACAAGTCGATTTTTTTTACGTTTATCAATGACAAGTTGTAATGAATTAGAAAATTTTATTGATTATATAAAAAATTTAACTAAATTAGATTCAAAATATTATTTAACATCATCACAAATTTCATTATTTTTATCTATTTTTCAACAATATATTAAAATTGATATTAATCAACAATTATTTATTCCATCAAATATTGTTCGTTTTCAAACTATTGAACAACCTATGACACCAATCTTTGTTCATACAATAGTTGCTAATACAATACAATTTACTCGATTATATACTGGACTTTTTCCATTGCAATCATTACCAGTTGAATATAATCGATCATCAGGTATAACAAAAAGTTTTCTGAGAATCGATTAAAAATAGTCGAGAAAAATGACTTGAAAATTTCAAGATAAAAAATCTTTAGTTTAGATCAAAATTAATTTCTAATACTTGGCTAGGTCAGCTTTAGTACCCTAAAAATCAATAAAAAAACCGGTCGATCCGCTTCCAAGTATGAAACGGATTGTTTTTCTTTTTCATCTGATTAAATTTATCATTCGATAAATAGAGAACTACAGTGAGTCAAGTCGATTTCGTGTTTAACTCACGCTATGTCATAATTCTGAAAATTGCTAGATCATGAGTCAGAGTGCCAATATGAAATATTACTTTGATTAATTTATACTGAAACTGTTGAATTTCAAATGAAGTTGATTAATTGCTTTTTGAGTTGGAACTGTGTGCATCATATGTAAATCCTAGTAAGCTATGAATACTCGGAAAGGCGTTTCGGGCTATTAGCTTATTGCTGGAAAGATAATGTAACAGTACGATATTTTTTTAAGTCAATACCATGGTTCCCATTAGGAACACTAAGAACAACGAGAATAATTTATTGAAAAAGTTTCAGATCTTTTGATTTCCTACTATACAGCAGAGATGCCCATGGCAGCGCGGTCGATTTTCGGCCGTGATGAACACCTCTGCTATACAGACATGAGAATATCGACTCTGTCGGTAGATAGAAACGATGGAAATGAGACTTTTTTAATGATAATCATGCCTTAGTATAGAAATGACGAAAAGATTTAAAACTTTGACAATGAACTATTTTTGTTGTTCCTGATGGATACTATGGTATTGACTTAAAAAGTACTGTATTGTTGCTATATCTCCGCAGCAATAAGCTAAAGATCGAAACCTTTTTTCGGATTTTTTATAGTTATATAAACAGGTTAATCATATCGCTTTTGAGATCTTATCAAGATCTGAATTAGTCTTGACATGTGTGCTTCTTCTTATGTTGGAGCTGATTGATTTTTCTTCTTCTTTTTGATAGATTAATAATCTTTGGTAGTATGAAAAGAAAATCAACAGATTATAATTTATATCTGATGTATCAATCTATGATATTTTCAATAATCTAATTTGATTTTTTTCCATTATTCTTTTACAATATTGACGATTGTTTTTTTTTCTCACTTTTACTAACTCGTCATTTTTATATTCAAAATTTAATTATATTTTTAGTTCAATGTCCTAAACGAGAAATGTCATTATTATATCCACAAATGAATTATAATCGTCTTCCTAACAATATTGATTTAAATAATATACCTCGTCTTGGTCCTCATAAATTACCTTCAATATGTTTATATTCATTAAAAAATTCAAAACAAATAATCAATTGTGTAACTTTATCCAATGATTGTCGTCTCTTAGCTATTGGTTTTCAAACATCAGAAATATTAATCTGTTCATTAAATCCAACTAATAAACTTTATTCAATGAAATCAGCAAAAGAACTTCATCATCTATTTCCTCATTCAAATAAAAATGATATTCTTGATACAACATCATGTTTAAACATATCAAACGAACGTTTACTTATTGGACATACAGCCAGTATATTTTCATTAGCATTTGAACCAAATAAACAACTATATTTATTATCTGGCTCACAAGATTGTACAATACGTTTATGGCATTTATATACTTGGTCATGTCTTGTTGTATATAAAATGCATTTTCAACCTATACTCAATGGTAAATTTTATTGAAAAAGAAAATTTTTTTTATCTTTTTCTATAATAGTAACATTTGCTTCAACTGGTTATATATTTGCTTCATGTAGTATCGATGGTCTTATTTGTCTTTGGACACTTGATAAAATAAGTCCATTTCGAATCTATCCTGAATATGGACATAGTGGTCCAATTAATCTTGTTGAATTTCATCCAAATTCAAATTATCTTGCTTCAACACATAATGATCATACCATACATTTATGGAATATTTATAATGAAAATTCACTTGTAAGAATTTTTAATGGTCATCGTTATCAAATAAGTTCAATTCGATTTTCTCCTAATGGACATTTTCTTGCATCAGGTTGTTGGAATGGTGAAATTATTTTATGGGATATTCAAAATAATATACAAATATCACATTTATGTTTACATAAACAAGCAATATCTTCAATTGAATTTAGTCCATTAACAGGTAGTTTATTATTAATATCAAGTATTGATTCAAGTATTTCATTATGGAATTGTTTTATGATAACAAAAATTTATGATGAAAAATTAATTGATACAATTAATATAAATTCATCATCAAATAAAATACTTTTAAATTTATTTAAAACTAAAAATACTTCAATATTTCATATAAAATTTTCAAAAGAAAATATTCTTTATGCAATTGGTTTAATTAATGAATAAATAAATAAACAATATATATAATTTTTAAAAAACGATCAAAAGACAATGAAATTCAGACGTTTTGTAAAGCAAAACAAAATATGGTGTCATAGATTGGATAAAAATTGATGATGTAAAGAGCTAGTAGAAGTTAAATTTTGTAAAATTCAATCTGAAAGAGGTGTTGAAATATAAGACAAAAATATTAGAATTCATTGCGACTCGGATTGCCATCGGAAATCCATAGATTCGGTCATAAAAATGATTGATTTGGCAAGTCTTTTCCATGGACTATGAGAGAAGTCTATGGTAGTTCCATAGATTCTATAAGACATAGTCAAGGATAGTTTCTAACAAAGTGTATAGATGACAGACATTATTTTATTGTTTGAAAGAACGTAATTCTAAGTGACGAAATTTGCATTTATAAAAACGAATTCATTTGAAACAAACTAATAGTAATAATTATGACTGCTGAGTGTCTACATTGTCTGCTGTTTTTTATTTCTCTTTATACATCTTTTCTAGTTAATATTTTTTCGGATAAAAAAAAGATATTTTAATATTTTACTTTTAGAATTTTTTTCATTTCTACAGCTTCTTTAATAAATAGGCTATGAGTTATTAGAAATTACTTTGCGGTTCTTAGTAGCACAGTATTGTTACTATTCAAAGCACGCTATTGGGATGAACAATATTTCAAACTTATAGCCAATTTTATGGCTACGTTTCCAGAAATTTTAAATTTTTGGTCGGTTTTTGAATATTTTCAAAAATTCAATCTTCAAGATTTACAAATAGCAACACAGTAAGATTAAATCATAGACATATTCATAGTTTTGAACAACTCTTTTTTTTCCAAAGAAATTTATCATTGAATTGTTTTTTGTTACTTTATCTGGTATCTATAGAAATTAAAAAGCACTGTAACTTGTTCATTTTTAGAACTTTATATTCGGTACGCGAACAAAGTTGTTTTACTACATTAATTTTACTACAATAAAAAGGAAGACAAACAGTAAATTGAATACTAGATCTTCTTTGAAAACCCTTCTCATATAACTTTGTAACATCACGATAATTCTTAACTTCAACTCGTTTAGAGATATATTTTTTGACAGGTAACTCTGGTCAGCAGAGTATAAAATTAGAAAAAAAAACAAAATATGCAAGATGTCTCACAAATAGCACTATGATAAACAATCAAATATATCCATTCCAGTTCAATCAAATGGGCTGATTTTTTTGGGTAGTGATAGAATTTTATTCAAAATTTTTTTTATACGAATAATGTAAACAAATACTTCTATTAGGTATTATTGGTAATTCACTAAAGAAATTTCATCTGTTATCATGTAAGAAAAATACATATGAAGGCTTTCGTAGATAATTTTTAGTTGTTACTTAAGAAAGCAACAAGAAGAAATCAAAACAAGTTCTATAAATGATATAATATTGACCCAAATAGACCAAATTTTCAAGCCTGAAACACTGCCTTTGTCGAAGAAGTTGATGATTCAATATCCAAAGGACTTTAATTATGCGTTTTACTTTTCAGACATGACTTGTGCCATTTAAAAATGCTAGTTCTTAAAATTTGGTCTATTTGCATTAATGCTATATCACTCATAGAACTTGTTTTAATTTCTTCTTGTTGCTTTCTTAAGTAACAACTAGAAATTATCTATAGAAGCCTTCATATGTATTTCTCTTACATAATAACAGATAAAATTTCTTTAGTGAAATCAACAATAATACCTAATAGAAGTGTTTGTTTACATTATTCGTATAAAAGAAATTTTGAATAAAATTCTATCTCTACCCAAAAAATCAGCTTATTTGATTGAACTAGAGTGGAGCGTAACGTAGGCTCCCATTACAGACATCCATCCATTAGAGACTTTAGCAATTAAGAATAATAGGTGTCAGAGTTTCTAGTTTTTCTGAAAAATTGATCAAGTTATAATTTTGAAAGATAATCAACATCATTGTTTGCGAGCTGATTAATATATATATATATAATAGTACGTAAGATCTTCTGTAACTGTAATGGATATGTCAAACAGATTTATTCGCCAATTAATTCAATGATTATAATAATAAGAATGTTGAATTACGGAAAACGATTTTACAAAAAAATGAAAGATAATAAGCAAATAGCAACCATGCAAAAGAAAAATAGGACGCTCTCAAACAAAAACAATTTTCTGTTTTAAATGTAGACATAAATAACAAAGTCTCGCTCTTGTCATTGATTATCAATGATAACAACAACAGTACACACGAAATTTTTCAGTTTATATATGATGCATTAGAATATTAAGGTTTAAGAATATATATGAATTCCACATTTCAGCTCCAAAGGAGCTACGCTAACAAACTTTTTTTCCATGTCGAACTATGTGAATAGTTTTTACATAGTGACAACTAGTGGTAAATGAGAAATACAATAAACACAAGGAATATCAGCATTAAAAACATTGAATGAGATTGCTTGAAAGATAAAATCAGCAAATTTTCTTTTTTTGTTAAATCTATTGAAGAGCATCTGAACGATGATAATGATGATGAAAACGAATATTATCTAAGAATGGATGACATATAAGATCTAATGCTGTTGGTCGTTGATGATAATCTTTTGTTAGACATAGATCAATAAATTCTCTTGCTAAAGAGGATACATTTTCTGGTAATTTATATCTAAAATTCACATAAATTATTGAATAGATTTTTTTTCTTTTATTTACTCAGGTTTTTCAGACGTAGCTATATGAAATATAGCTGCAATTGGTTGTAGATTTTGCCATGGAGGACCAGTGGTTAACACTAAAAAATTAATAATATGTAAATATCGAAATGAATTAGATTTTTACTTACTTTCAACTATAGTACAACCGAGACTCCTTAAATAAATAAAAATAAGAATAATATATGTTTATTATTTCTTTTTTTTTTAATCTATTTGAATTTCTTACCAAATATCTGCTTTACGTCCAAAAATATTTCCTCGAATTATTTCTGGTGCTGTCCAATGAGCTGTACCTATAAAAAAAACGCACATCCCGTTAGAAAAGAATACAGATCTTGATGAATCCAGTCAAATTTTCAATGACTTCATTCAACAAGAAATTTATATTATGATAGTCAAAAAATGTTTTTGCATTTCTCTCTGTCAATATCAAATACCTATACATATGGTATGGTTGTTTACACTGCGGCCGGTATACTGTGATAGAATGGCGATCAAAAAATAACCGATCGATAAAGTACCAAACTACTGCCGGTAATTGATCAGATCATACCAAACAGTCTACCAACAATTTTTGTGTGGTTTGAATAATATAGGTATTTTTTTCCTTAAGACATATTTTGTAAAATCTTCAGAAAATCAAACAAGTGATTATTTTCGAAATAACAAAAAAATCATATTGTCACTCTAGTTCTATCGATCATAGTAAACTAGACTCGAATCACAACAGGTCTACATACGTATCCTACGTATTTAATTTCATGAATATGTGACAAGAATCTATACGTTACCAATAGTTCCAGAATTTGGTTGATTTTGATTGGTAATAGCAATAAGTCGTCTCGATGTACCGAAATCACCTAATTTTATATTACCTGAGATATCTCTCAAGATGTTCGCACCTTAAATAAAACACAAAACCAAAAAAAGACATTATTCTTTTATTATTCTAAAAAAATTTAATTACATTTAATATCACGATGAACAAAATAATTTTCATGTAAATATACAAGACCTTCAAGTATTTGTCTTGTATATTTTTTTGTTAACTGGTCTGTTAATGCACCGTAATTTAATATTTGTTCACGTACAGATCCACCTACCATAAATTCCATAAATATTTGTAAACAATCATCTGTTTGTAGTGCACCATGATATCGAACAATACGTTCATGATCAAGTTGTTTATATATATTGATTTCACATTCAAGAATTTTAACTTTCTTTACATATGAATATAAAAGAGAAAGTTGTTTTTTTTGTTTCATTTTAAAATAGAATTTGCATACTTGTGTCGTTTCAGAATTAAGTCCACGGATAGATATTTGTTTAATTGCTAATTCACTACCAGTATCAACATCATAGCAAACAAAAACTTTACCAAAAGCACCTAAAATGAATTGTTTTCGGTAAACGATTACATGCCGATAATTTTACCTTTAGTCATAGGTGGTAGAAGGTTTTGGAATCTAGGATAGACTTAACAATCTTTAGAACATGTTAAGAATAGGAAGAGAGAGAGGAGGAATCTGTTTATGCTTTACATTGTAGGTTTGTTCATGTAGATGAAAATGTTTCTTAAACATGCAAGCTTTTTCGGCAACTTCCCATGTCGTCAATTTTTCACCAAAACCGATGGTTGATCGCGGTTCTTTAAAAAAATCGACGTTTCGAACGGTTTTCTCATTTTTTATCAATTTTTTAAAAATTTCACTGCTAAATTATTATTTTGAATCTTGAAAGAATCGATTGCAGGTTTAAAAAAGTCTATATTAACCTCTTGGATCCAGCCGATTCTTCCGTTCTATCTTCGTGAATCAGTTGTATACATGAATATTTTTTATCGTATATGAAACGTGGATTGATACAATCGTCTTGATGAACATTTCGTTTCGCAGCTATTTATCAATACAACAGAACGAAAAAAAAGTCTTGCGTTTTGCTTGTCTTCAACCTGAAGACAGCAGTATTCAAGTGGTTAACGTGTCACAATAATTTATGTTAGATGGCGCCACTAATTTTTCTATTGAGTGAGTTATCTAACTATTAGCTATTTTTGTGGTACCACCTTTAATAAAACATCAAAGTCGAAAACTAAGCGAATTTAACTGTTGTAGCTGATGCAAAAACTTCAGCGCGCTCTCATTTAGATAGGGCACAATTTCGACTAAAATCTAACAATTTTGTAAGAGTCAAAAATATTCATGCGGTGTGATATAAAAAAAACTATGCAGGATAACCATGGTTAACTGTCGGTTTTCGAGCGGTTTGAACAACATGGGTTATAGTTCATTTAACTTGAGTTTCTCGTACAGTTTCTCTTCATTTGTAACAAACAAATATTACTTCAAGTTATTGACAACGTTCCCTAGTGAAACATCTTGTAAGCTAGATCTTGGTAAATTTAAGTACAAGATAACATGGTTACCTTGCAGCAAGATCTATAATGAGATCTTGGGTACAGATTTATATGATGTAATTAAGATATAAGAACGTAATATTTCTTATCCAAGACCTTAAAATCTAGTCCAACATCTTGGCTTAGTAATACTTACTAAGGATTATTTTGCCACTGCTCGGAACTATATTGTGCTGAACTGTTCAATAAAACACGATCTTTATTCAGCGGTGTTTCTAAGGGCAGAGGTTTCGAACGCTTTTTGAATAAAACATTAATCTCTAACTTGGTTTCTTACATTTGTAGGAGAAATTGGACTTCAAAATTATAGTCAGCGTCAAATCTTACATCGGAGAGGCTATTTTAGAAGCCTTTAGAAACACTCATAGACGAATTATCAGGATCGGTTTTGGACCATGTATATTTTAGCCAAGATCTTATAAATCTGTACCTAAGATTTAATTACAGATCTTGATACAAGATAATGCAATTGTCTTGTATCTAAATTTGCCAATATTTGTTAATTTTTCTGTATCTTGGCCAAGATCTTGCTTACAAGATGTTCGCCTAGGGTTACGCCCAACATTTAGTCATACAAAATTCCATGTTTCCACTAGGAACATTTTCTAAGTCTGCTGCATTACGAAAAATGTTACTAATTGCCTTTGAACTGCATAAATCTGTCAATTTAATGGAACGAAAAAACAAATGTTTGAGCCTATCATAGCCTACAATACCTGAATCAAGGATAGGGTTTAACGTGTTTCTAGCTTTCTGATTCCACTGCCTATGCCTTTAGTTAAACCACAAATAACAAAACCATTTCGATAGTATCAAATCATAGTAAATGTGATCGTATGGCTCGTAATACTATCATCGATGAATTCAAGTCATAATCAATGATTTGTCAAAGAGGAAAAAGTACGCCTCTGTACTTCCGAAATATACAGAAGTACTGAGAACTATTAAGAAATGTACGGAAAAATGAAGTATTTTCTGTTATTATACTTAGGGTTGACCAAAAGTTCTCCGCCCAGTGTTTAAAAGACCTTGTTGGAAAAGGTAATCTATTCAGAAATGAAAAACCAAATATACCATGTTGTAGAGCTTTTTGAGACCCGTCGAATGATATATCGTAAATCCTATTTTCATAAGACTTTGAAGGAACTAGAGTCAATTCACTCATAGACGACTACATACACACAAGATGGCCGAAAATGCTACGTATATAAGGTTGTAGTCCGTCAAAAACTCTACAAAATCATATGTGAAAAAAAAAATTCTACAAATATTTTCGACTAATACTAAGGACTACACTATTCAGTAACCTATCATGCTGGAGTGTGGATGTGTAGTCGCTTATCAGTAAATTGACTCTAGTTCCTTCAAAGTCTTATGAAAACAGGATTTGCTATATACCATTCGACGTGCCTCAAAAAGTTCTACAACATGGCCTATTTGGTTTTTCATTTCTGAATAAGTTACCTTATCCGACAAGGTCTTTTAACCATCCGGCTTAGAGCTTTTGGTCGATCCCCTAAGTACAAAAGATAATTATGAAAACAATTACAGGAGTACGCAGACATATTGAGAACTTTGGAGCAGTATTTTATCCGAATTTTCTTTTCCGATGGTGTTTCGGTGTATTCTTACTACTATCGACGCCAGAAGTCAATGTACTCGGATGTTTTTTGAATAACTTTCGATAGGAACAAATTAGAGACCTGCGAGTTTCAGCAATCAAAAGAGGAGACATGGGGCCGTCTTTTTTCCCCAAAAATGTGTAAAATAAAACCTCTTTAAAACCAATCATATCCGGAAAACATTTGAAAAAAATTCATGAAACTGGTCTGTCGTTCTGATGAAATTTTGAAAAAAAGTAAAAAAATTTAGCTGAAAATGAGCACAATTTCGTATTATTTAAGTAAGCCAGTGCATGATTTCATTGGTTCAGCGTTAGAATGTGAAATGATAACAATTCGCATTGTGTCTTGAACAACAGATCTGAAGTCCCTCTATCCAAATCATATGTCAATATCAAAATTTCATCAGAACAGCAGACCAGGCTCATGCATTTTTTTCGAATGTTTCTCGGAAATGATTGGTTTTAAAAAGATTTTGTCTTTTACAATATCGGAGAAAAAGATGCCCCCATATCTCCTCTTTCGATTGCTGAAAACCGCAGGTCCCTAACTTATTCCTACCGACAGTTATTCAAAAAGCATTCGAGTGCACTGACTTCTGGCGCCGATATTACATGCATCTCGATCCTATCTATTTTCTTTTCTTTGATATTTTCGTTTCTGTTATTTCGTTTCTCTTGCTTTTCTTTGTCCTTGATTAACCTTTGTGTTCTTTTCGACTTTGTCCTTGTTTTTTCATGTGAGTATATAAAAGTTTATTTTGTCAAAGAATAAATAGAGAGAGAAGAAAATGCATCTTAACTATATTCGTCGCTTCTCGTGGGCGCGAATTCTAACATGTGAAATAATTCGAACTTCAGAAGAGTGAAAATCTAATTCCAAGGGCGGCAAACACATAATCTATAACACAATAATTCCAAATTTCAGGAAAACACACGTAAAGTAAAAATGTGTCGCATGTGTCGTGAATTGCGACACATCGTACGGCACATTAAAGTGCGATACGAGGAGCTCACTGCAACACATTTTCTATTGGTTCTTTTGCAAAAGTATATTTCGATTTTTTTCAATTTAATTCCACTTAAGTGTTTCTATTCTGAAAACTCAAGCAGGTCAGATTCTGGGATCTGCCCGATCTCAAGTTGGTGCGATTTGCATCAAATCGCTTCAGGGTAGTCCTCTCTCGATCATGGATCGACATTAGCAGTTTCTCGACAAAAAAAATTATCGAGAAATAATCTAGAAAAAATGAATATTTTGAAAATTTATCCTTTGTACGTTTAACTGCGTCGTTTATATATCGTAGTGTGTGCATAACGAAACGGTAAACGAATAGTCAGCAGAAAGAACGCGACAAATTCCTATACGATACATTTTTATGCTGAAGTACACGACACATAAACACGACGCATTTAAATTTAGTGTGCAAACCCGATACTTTGAGACTATCAGAAAATAAAAAGTTTTTTGACCCATCTGGTGATTTGTACTAACTCATTTTTCTTTATATTTACCTTGTCCTAATTGTCGACCTAATTTCCAATTAGTGGGTGTTTGTGGTGCTAAACGAAAACAAAGCAAATACAATACAATTAACAAAATTCTTTTGATATAATTCTATTACATTTATGCTGACGACTAGAACAAGAACATGGTGTACATAAGAATTCATTTAAATTTGTTTGAGATGAACTGCTACTTGAATTTATGCCACTACCACTACTTGCATCTGATGATGCTCTAAGTCTAACAAACGACGTAGCTATGAAGAAAGAATAGATTAATTGAAATAAAAATAAAAAAATTTTACTTGGTAAATGTCGTCTTGAATTATATTTACTTCTACTCGAATCTCGACTGGCAACAGATGAACTACCACTTGAATATGTATCATCATTCTATTACAAATATTATTGAGAAAAACGAATTTTTTTTTTTGTAAAATAAAACTAACTGGTTCCGGTATAAAAAGTCCTCCATCTTTTGATATTTTTGTTTGACTAATTGTATTTGTTGTTGTTATTGTAGGACTTTTTTGTGGTGTAATAGTACCAGGTGGTGGTGAATCAAGACCAATATCATCAAGTTCAATAGTTTGTCCATCATCAGACATTGAACCTGAATCATCATAATTATTAATTGATATAACTCGAGATATCGTATGAGGTTTTTTTCTTGTTAAAAGAAAATTCAGTTTATTTGATCCATTTTTTTCAATTGTAGTAAGTACTTTCTTTAAATCTTTATCATTTGTAATTGGTAAACGTAATGCATCATTACGTGACAATAAACATTGAATAGGACCAATCGATGATAATGTATGATTACCAAATAAATTTTCAATACATTTAAGTAAATCACAATATGTAAATGGTTTTGACAAACAGCATGCTCTAACTTGACCATCAAGCTCAAATTTCAACGTCTAAAATTAGATTTTTCATTCATTATATAAAACAAAAACTTGAAATTGAAAATACTTTTCTTTGTTCTTGTGGTTTTTTACGTTGAATTGTTAGCTGTGGATTAGCTTCAGTTATTGCTAATGAATCAGATTGATTTGCCATAATGAATACTTATTACCTTATATCATAATAATAATAATAATCTAGAATATTGATGAATGTCGGGCAAAAAATAAGAAATGAAAGATCGTAATAAGAAAGACCTAATGTTTCAGCTGTTAATCATAATGGGAAGGAAAAAAAAATGTATCAACTTACCAGCTGATGCAAATATATGAAAAAAAATCATTGAGGACAAAATAGAATCGACTTCATCTATCGTTGTATTTGATAGTCAATCAATCGAATATAGAAGAGAAAAAAAAACATACTTTTGTCAAACAACATTGAAATTTTGGATATACAAAGAATATTTTTTTTTATTGAGTTACATATAGAAAAAAGACAGCGTCAATCTTTTGCATACTGTAATATCGGCGACTTAACAAGAAAAAACAAAACATAGAGAAACGAAGACAATAGAACGTAAAAAGATACAAACGAAAGAATTTCGTTTTTTCGTATTCTTTCAATTTTCAATGTCAATAAAACTTTTACTCATGAAACTATTACAAGAAAAACAATCTTCTAAAATGACCTTGATTGAAAATTCAATGTCGAGAATCGTTAGGAAAAACATTCCAATTCTTCGAATACGAAAAGCATTTTTTTTGTATAATAGAAATTATACGATGATAAAAAAAACACCAGCCAGAATGTTGATGTATAATTTAAAATTCAATGCCTCGTAATTAAATACGAGAATGTCGGGTACGCGTCAGCTTTTGCATCTATTTATTATGGCTAAGTGAAAAAAACAAATTTAAACGAAAACATCTCTTGAGTAGACGACGAGAGAGAAAATTGTTAAGTGTACAAATGAATTCAACACAAAAATATTGAAAAGAAAAATTATAATCCAACGGACAATATATACATACTGATAAATAATAAAAATTGTTTTTACATTTTCAGACAAAATCAATGAGATTCGAACTTAAAATTAATATTATTTCGTTTTTACTCAACGTTATAAAGTATAACTGTTAGCGGCTAACCTTGATAGTACCGGGTAGTCCAAAAGTAACCTAACAGGGACTTCGTTTCAACTTTGTTTTCTTTATAGATCGATAGTTTGATCTCACATTCGGACCACATATACTAGATGACAATACTCAGAGAAAGAGCCTATTATCAGCCTTTAGCTAAAAGGTTATGTCGATAAACATATGAACGTCTTACACGCACTCTTATATGATTGCCACATAAGTTTGTAGTTTTCTTATAGTATTGTGATTCTATCTTTTGGTTTGTTTGCATCAAAATGTGCAAGATGATTTTAATTCTATTTATCTTTACATTGTTTCAAACTTGTTTCGCTGCCAACTACTCAAAAATGAGATATAATGAAAAGAGACATTACTTCAATCAGACGACAGCAAACTTATATGACAGTCATATAAGAGACTACGCAAGATATTCTTATGTTTTCTGGTAAAATTCTTACAAATAGTGGCTGATAGTAGGCTCTGTCTCTGAGTATTATCATCTAGTATATGTGGTCCAAATATGAGATCAAACTATCGATCTATAAAGAAAACAAAGTTGAAAAGAAGTCCCTGTTAGGTTACTTTTGGTCCACTCGATATCATGTTTTGAATCCTGGATCTATTATCGAAATTTTAAAAAAAGGGAATCGAGTAAAATGTTTCTAACTTTTTAACGAAGATAGTTAGAGACCTGCGGTTTTCACCATTTGAAAGATGAGACAGGGGAACGTCTTTTTCTTCAATATTGTATAGGTCGAAATCATTTAAAAATTAGTCATTTCTACAAAACATCGAAAAAATGTATAAAAATGGTCTGTCATTCCGATGAAATTATGGTTTTGACATCTGATCTAGATAGAGAAACTCCAGATCTATAGTTCGAGATATAATTCGAATGACTATCTTTCTACATCCTAATGTTCAACAAATAAAATCGGCTATTCAATCGAACGAAAAGTATAGAATTCTTTTAAGTTTAAAGCATATTTTCTGAATTTTTGTCAAAATTTCATTTGAATGATGGACCGTTTTTATACATTTTTTCGATGTTTTGTAGAAATGACTGATTTTTAAATGATTTTATCTTATATATAGGAAATATGTAATGTCGATTGAGAAGGACAAATTTTTTAAACATGTTCATCATTTTATCATTTGTAAATAAACGAAAATAAGTTTTAAATAGTACAGATAAAGAATGAAGGAGCTGTTCAAATCGAGAATTACGAATTGAAAATGCTTCATATAAGTCATATTTATTAAGGTAATAAAATATTTCATATAATAATTCATTTGATAGATCTTCAAAACAAATTGTGAATCGATAGAATTCATCTGTATAAATAAAATAAAAAATACAAATATCTTTATATTCATCAAGTGAATAACTTACTGTGGAATTTCTTTATTATTCCCTCTGAGAAATCACCACTCAAGACAGCCAATTATTGATTATATTTATTCATTAATTTCCAGTCCTTTTTTTCACTCTCTCCTCCTCCTCCTTTCAGCGAATCAATATCACATCTATACATTTTGAAGAGATAACTAGATGCATTAAAATTTACTCACAGGCGATTATTTCAATAAACTTTCTCAACGATGAAAACAACAAAAAAAAACAAAAAAGTTTAGACAACAACTAAAAACTGAGTAGCAGCTAAAACATTTACGAAAGTGCAATACACGGAATTTCGTCACATATTATGATAAAGTACATACGGTTATATAGCATACAGAGATTATCAGAATTGAATAACACTTACCAAATTCTACACCTTGAACGTATTGAAGATTGCAATGGAAAGAGCTAGCGAAGTCTACATCTTTCTGAGCTTAATCAAAATTTCGATAGAAGAGAAAAGTACCGAACTTTACATATGAATCTTATTGTGCACTTTGAATTAATTTTATAAAGCTGAAATATCACTACATCGCATCCATCACTTATAAAATCAACTTTAATTTAATTGAACAATTGAAATTTTCAAAATCTAAGTTTAATTCTGCCTAAATCTCAATTTTGCCTGACACATATATATGTATATGTGCGGATTTCTTTCTGTTCTAGTTGGTTCGTTATATAGCTTAGTTGTTATGTGTGTATGAGTGTGAAAATATAAGACGTGTGTGTGTGTAAGAGCATTTTTGATATAGTAAAAATCAAAGGAAAAGGTCAAACATCTGTTTCCTCTTATAATAACAATAGGCATCATTAAGTTTTTTTTTTAACATCATCTTTTTCCGTGAAAATTAGGTTTTGTATTTCTTTTTTTAATATAAATATGTAAAACTTGAATTGTTCGATCTTTCTAGAAAAGAATTCTTTAGGATAGAGTACTTTAAAATTTTATTATGAAAATTTAATGATTTAAAAAAACTAGAGTGTGAATAATGATAGTTCATTTCGGTTAGAGAAATCTATTTTTATAAAAATAACTATTTTTATTAATCTTGACTAAAATTATTGAAAATCAAGAATAGAAATGCATCAAATAATTCAATTCTTAGAATTTAACGGGATTTGCTTGTTGTAGAATTATGCATAGTAGACATATTTTTATAAATGAATAATTCAATGCCAATTTTTTCAAGACCAAGTCTAAGCCAAAAATTTCAACAAACTACCTGTCACATCGAATTTTTCGGTTCCTAAAAAAAGATTAGTTAAGCTTCAAGAAAATGTCATTATAGTCATGACATAGGCTTTTTCTAGCTATGAAAGTTGACATGAAATCATATTACCCTCATTAAAGTCTGTTAAATAAGTCCCGTAGTCGCGCCACGAAGGAGAGATAGAGCGAAGCTGAGATCTGAGGTGGCTCAACCTCTGGCTAATGATCCAGGCTCCAGCTGCTCTTTGGATTTGACTAGATTCGGCGTCGACCCTACAAGTCATACTCTGAAAGAAAATAGACAACGATGACTTGTTTCTTTTACAACTATCATTCATATTGTCCGAGAAATGTAAATTTCAGAAGCAATTATAAGAATTCACTTCGAGTTCAAAATTTCAAACTCTAATCTTCATTTTTTATTGAATTTTCGATCTAGTTTTAATTATTTATCGGAAAACCAGTTTTTTGATATTCCGGCAAATACCTAAGACTGGATCGAAAATTCAGCAAAAACGGTCATAACTCAATTCTAGATGTTCATGAACACTAGACTCTGTTGAGTTCAGAATTTTTGGACCCGATCGAATCATACTGTAATACTCTCAACGAAATTTTCTAATCGGAATTGAATAGTCGTCCCGAAGATAGAAGATATTTTTTTGTATTCGATGACAAGCGCATTCTACACATTTTTCACATTACTAAAGTCCATCGGATCTAAAATTTTCAGATCCAGACACAACCCGATGGATGCGAACATTTTTAGGATTTGTCTAGTCTTATCGAGACATTCTTATGAACCCAATATGAGTTCAAATGATTGGTATCAGTTCCGATAGTTCTCGTATTAGTAAGGCACTTACTTTTAAATAAATCAAATATCAAGAGAAAAAGTTAATATTTAATATAAATGATTTTTAGATTCGTATCAAACTATATATTTTATTATTTTTTGAATAAGAAAAAACTACAAGATCAAAATCAAGAAAGATAAAAAAGAAAAAAAAAGAAAATGTTTATTCAATGAAATAGTTAGCTTTTTTTGTTTTGTTTTTTTTTCTACAGAAAATCTTCATCCAATTTAATTAATTGTTGTCCACTAAGATTTTGTCGAAGTCCTTTTTGATCTTGCTTTTCATCTTCTTCTGCTACAGATTCAATATAGTTTTGACCGGATTGTATTGGAGTTCGTGGTGTTCGTAATTGTGCAGCAGTAAATTCAAAACGTGATGGACCCTGATCAGTTGGATAATCTGCACTTCGACGACGAGTAAAATAATTGTCACTCATACGTCGAAGATTTTGCAATATTCTTGGCTTTCTAGCAGAACCAGAAGAAGGTTCATCACCACTTGTATTCAGTTCTCTACCTCGAGTACTAGTAGTAGTAACACCGCTACTAGCAGGCATAACTGTTGAAGTTTTCCGATCAAATATAGATGATTTACGTCTCGCTGGCGGTGGATTATCGTGCTGTCGTTGTCCTAGAAATAGATACATATATATATTAAATGATTATAATTGATGAAACTAAAATTTACTATCAAGTGCTATTTTTGCATATTTTTCTTCAACTAATTTATTCCATCGATCTTCTAATAAATTATGTGGTATTTGTTTTTTCAAATTACGTATAATACTCTTTGTCATAAAGAAATCAATACAGAATAATGCATTAAAACACATAAAAATACCCATAACTGTACCAAATACAGCTGCAAGTATAACAGCAATACGATAATCAGAATAGGTTATACCATGAAAACAAGTTTCTTTTGTATCTGATGTTGATGTCATAGATGGATATGAAATATGTAATGCAACAATAGTTGTTCCAATAGGAATATTTCGTGATGTTTGTGTACCATTAGCAATAATTAATATGGAATTATCATTTTGATTTGGAGAACTTCCAGATGCAAAATATAAACCACGATCAATAACAAACTGAATATTACTATAAGTTCCAAGTGTATTTACAGAATCAACAGATCTTGGACATCCAGCTGAATTTAAAACAACACTATAAATACCTGTTGTTTGATCAAGAATATAAACATTTATATTACCAGATCCATAATCAAATGTTATTGAACGAATTTGATCAAATTTAAGTGGTGCTTGACAACATTGAAGATTATTTGTATTAAGATTAATACAAGAATCAATTGTTGAATTAGTTATAATAAATAATCGATCTAAAGAATTAGCATAAGCAACTGAACGTACTGGATTTGTAATTGTTGTTGGTATTGATAATTGAATTTGCATTAAACCACTCATAGAAAATAAAACAACATTACCTGTTTGATATGTAAGAAAAGAACGTCGATTATTAACATCTGATGAAAATGAAGTTAATTTATTTAGTTTTGATATATCAAATGTAATTGGTAATGAATAAATTGTTGAATCAAGTTTTTCATTAGCAATTAATTGACATAAATAAATAGTACCATTAGCTTCGTTTGTAAAGAGTATATAAAGATTACGAAGTGTTGGATCATATATAGTATTTACAATAGTCATATTTGTTGTTGCTGTGAATATAGTAAGCAAACGATCATTACCACCATATTCGTTTGGTTGCATAACAAATATTTTATTTATAGTTGAAATAATAACAGATCCAATTGGAATTGGATTATAGGCACCTTTTATTATTGTTAATAACGAAATAAAAACCAATAATAATAAACAATTCATGTTTTGTTTTGTTTTTTTTTTGAGAAGGAATTTTTATATGAGTTACATAAATATCGTATGACTTGAAAACAAAAAAAACGTTATATATTAAAAAATTATATGTATATATATATATATATATATATATCTTGTAATTTGTTTTTTTTCGTTCGTCATTGCTTGTATAGTTATGCTTCAATGATTCTGTACGGTATTTTTTTTCTGATTATATTTAGCACTAAATATTATTTGCGATTCATCAAAAACACACTCCATGTGATTGTTTCGTTCGTTCACTTGTATAGGTATAAAAATAAATAAGTAATTCAATATCATATATGGCGATATATGAATACAGACGACAAATATTTATCAGAATAAGATGTTTTCAAAGAACTATGTGTATGGATGAATGTAAATACATAAAAATTAATCAAGAAATAATCGCCAATACCTTTCGAAAAATTGATATTGATAAAAAACGAGTGCATATTACTACTCGAAAATCTTCAAAGAATTTTTATATCTCACGAAGGAAACACTCTTTTGAACTGAAATTTTCCGAACGTTCGACTAATAAACAGATCTGTCTGTAGGCAAAATTTCAAGGTCAAAATATCATCATTCAATTTGTTGGTGTATAACATGCCAGATGTAAAGATGCGTATAAATTTAGATCGAAGACCTATGGAGATTTAACCTTTAGAGGTTTTTTATATCTTACTAGGATCTATCATATGCACAGAGTCCTAGTTTAAAAATAAATTGTTTCGTTAGTTCATTTCGTAATCGATAAAGCTACAAAACAATCTTCTTTGTATGGTTTAAAAATATGGGTTCTATAATAAAATCCTTAGTCTAATGTCCAATTTTTCAGTTGATATTCAAGACAGATAATTAAACAATAAGTTAGTAACTAGTTTTGATTAAATTCAATTTTTCACAAATCTCTGATTGGAAGGATTCACGAGCAAAAATTTGACTCGAACAAAAAAATAGTTGCAGAAAAAGTTTGCAATGTATATAAGTCGATACAATTTTTTTTTTGCGCTGATTTCAAATATGATATTTGTTTAAAGTGAACTAGGTATAAGTCTGCTTGAAATATCAGTTGAAAAATTAGATCTCAAGAATTTTATTAAGTGAACCACTTTTTAAATCATACAAAGTTTGTTTTGTAGTTCTTGAAAAGGTACAATCGATTACAAAGTGTAAAGAATATTTTATTTAAATAATTAGTAAACGACAAATGGAATGCACATAAGTATTTCAGATTGAAAATACTATTTTAAATGAACGGTTCTATTATGAAAATGTAATTTGAAAAAAAAGAGACTATCAGAATAATTTCAAATCATTCTTCACTATTATTTGTTTTCTGTCAAATAGCAGGCTAGTATAAATAATTAACTGCTTATTTAGTACATCGTGAAGATACACCCAATTTACATTTATAATTGAATCAAAATGCCTCAAGTTTAACATCGAAATGATCTTTCATTCTATATATGATTCAATTAGACAAAATCTTGAAAATCAAAAAGATTTTGACCCACAAAATACCGTCGAAACGTCAGTAGCGGACGGTACCTTTGTCATGACTACAGTCGAATACGATGGAGGTAACACTCTCTATTGACATTTCAGCGGTACATAATAGAACTTGATAATACATAAACCATTAGATCTTCTACTAATCTACATAGATCTTGTTCAGGTATCAAAGATCACTGTGACACATAGAAGAGAATCCATGAGATCACCACCCAAAACAGTATAGACCAGTTGCTGGAAAATTTTAGTTTTTAAAATGAGTTTGCTAGTTTGAAAGAGCATAAAAAGTTACTGATAAAATCCAAATTTTGACGATTGTCTTCTAATACTTCGACTACCTAAGAGTTTTCATCCGAAATATTGGTCTGTCAAAAAACCTATAACTTTTCGATCATTTTTGTTTTAATCAGAATTATTGTTAGATAATATCCATTGATAGAATGGAAACTGCTCTACAAAATCCTATATTTCATATACCTTGTAAACCGAAAAAATCCATTTTAATAGGTGAAATCGATAATTTTTTGATCTGTTTTACTCTTCTTGTTTATGTCATGCAGTTAATTTTTTAAGATAAATTTTATATAGTTTTGTCGAGCGTCAAAAGACGCATCTTTTGATTAAAAAATATTGATTGTAATGTACTAGAAACTTTTCGAAAAGTTCACGACAATGTTACTGAAAATACATCATTTTTGATATTTTCATGAAAATGCATGTATAGATTTTTTTAATGAAAAGATCAAGTTGAGATCGGAAATCAATAATTATTCCACTAGAAAACCCGAGCAGATATCTAAAATCTGTGTGTTCTTCATCACTAGATAACTAAAAATAGTTAACGATAATGACATCCTGATGCTCTTGAGTTTCGAAAACAGAATGAAATCAATAGTTTGCATTTGTTCAAAAGTGTAGATACGAAAGATATTCGAAAAAAAGAAATAAATTTTTGCTTTATTGAAAATTTATCATACGAATAAATCTTCTGTGTTATAACATTAACACATTAATAATAAAAGAAACATTATTATCAGTGAAACTAATACAGAAGCAATAAAATTATATTGATAAAGATAAATAGTAATTTGATAGAATTTCGATTTAATTGCAATCAGTAAAACCGTACCAATTCAGCTATCAAATTCATACAAAGAAAGAAATACTAATCGATCTATCATATGAGTTAGATACATAACTTCATTGTCATAATGTATAAAAAGGTATTGAAGATTCTAAAAAATTCAGCCTTCTGATAACAGTTAATCCAACATCGATATCCTAATTCATTCAAAAGACGAAGGAAACATGCAATAATAATTAGAGTAATACAAACTATGGATCGGATATCCGTATCTGTACCTGAGTTCTAATACAAAATTAATCCATACGATTAAATGATTTCGGTTCGAGTCGGGTACTAACAGTAAGAAGAGTTGTATCCATGCGATACTTTGATAATTATTACTTCTAGTTTTCTACAGGTATCACTATTTCATACAATATTATTAGTAAAATCTTTAGTTCAATAAATATTTCTGTGTTATTCTAACTGAGAAACACTACAGTACGAAGTATTTGTTCATTTTTTAATGTTATCAACAGAGGACCGATATTTTTGGTGAAAACCATTAGGTAATCGAAGTATTAGAAGACATTGTTAAAATTTGGATATTGTCAGTAACTTTTTATGCTCTTTCAAACTAGTAAACTCATTGTAAAAACTAAAATTTTTTGGCAGCTTCCTTGAATGATGATCTCTTAGATATTCGTCGTTCACTGATGATACAGTCATATCATCCAAATGCTTTTCTTCTTTCCTGTATGTCTACAGGGTGCGTAAAAATGTTTTTCCATGGAGTAGCATTATAGTTTCAAATAGCATACATAACTAATTTTATACCAAATTAAAGTGCATCAAAAATGAGATTTTTTGATACTAAATTGTAAGAGTTATCAAAACTTTTTGATATCAAACTTAAGAAATTCTATGCTTTTTTGGGATAGAAAACTAAGGGGTCACTGATTCAAAAATCGATTTTAGTATTTTCTTTTGATATGTTTACATGGTCCGTCGAGTTCTACAAACCTGTATATATTAAAAATTTTTTAAAGCCAGTTTTTTGACATGAAAAAATTCAAAAAACTACTTGCAAAGTGTTAAAAAATTCATTCTTTTCATTTGAAAGGAAAATACTCAATTTTTCAATAAAAACAACTTTTTTCATGATTGTCATTAACAGAGACATTTCGAAATGTAATCACTAGACTCAGTTTTTCACGCTGTATCTGGTGGTTACATTTCGCAACGTCTCTGTTAGTGACAATAATGAAAAAAATGAGTTTTAACATTTTTTAGCATTTTGCAAGTAGTTTTTTTAATTTTTTCATCTCAGAAAATCGGCTTAAAAAATTTTTAATATATACAATTTTGTAGAGCTCGACGAGCTCTGTCGAACCATGTAAATATATCAAAAGAAAATACTAAAATCCATTTTTGAATCACTGACCTCTTATATAGTTTTCTATCCTAAAAAAGCATAGAATTTCTTAAGTTCGACATCAAAAAGTTTTGATAACTCTTACAATTTAGTATCAAAAAATCCTATTTTCGACGCGCTTTAATTTGGTGTAAAATTAGTTATGTATGCTATTTAAAACTATAGTGTTACCCCTTGGAAAAACATTTTTACGCGCCCTGTGCATTTATTCTACTATTAAACATAATACTGTAGATATGAGTGAAACTAATCTTGATTCCGACAGAATTGTGACTAGCTAATAGTTTTTTATAGCAATCTTTTTGCTAATATTTCTTTTGAGTATTCAATTGGTTATGAATTCCTATTCTTTGTAATATTTTATTAATTATAACATAAATTAATCAAATTTTCGTCTATATACATATGTATATATATATAGGCAAATTTATTTGTTTTGTCAAATATTGATATACGTATATATATATATATATAGTAAAATAAAAACAGTTCCTGAGTATTACAAATAGGAAATATAATTACAAGGATAAAGAACAAAAAAAAAACAGGATATTATATCAAATCAATATATTCATCACATTAAATGAGTTAATGTCGTTGTTGTACTGTCTGTATCTTTTCGTGTTGTTCCTACTGTTTTTGTAGTTGTTGTTGTTGCACCAGTAGATGATACAACAGGTTGACTAGTATTATTATTATTATTGTTATTACTGTTATTATTATTATTAGTAGTTAAATGAACTGTAGCTGAATTTTGTTGACGTACATTTTGTATAAAATCCTATAATATTAAATAATATTTGTTTTGTATGAATACAAAATGTTATATCATTTTTTTTTCTGTTTCAAACAACACCTGCTGTGCTATTATATTCTTACATCTTACATCAATGAATAATATTCACATATTCGATTTCATCATTTTTTACTTCCTTTCCAACTGTGAACTATTTACATAAGAATATTCTATCCTTGACCCGATCTCTCTCTTTCAAAAAAGACTAATGATTGAGATAAATATAACCTATCATTGTTGACAACTTCTGCATGTGTATCATATGCTCGAGTTCATATATATATAAAAGATAAGTTGTCTGTCTATGACTGATTGATATTGGCATAGTTGTCCTCGAACTAAAGGGCATATTCACATGTATCTATTACTATTGATAGTTATAGTGTTTGATGAACATACCAAAAGATATGTTATTTGATATAAAGGACAAGAAAAAATTCTTTCTCATAAATATTTAACTTACCGATGATAATGCATCTCCATTTGTTCGTCGTATATGATAAAAATAACGAAAACGATTACTTTCATCAGGAATAATATGTTCACGAAGTGTATCTTGATGATAATTATGTCGAATTTTTTTAAAATTTGCTGTTTTATATCGTTTTTTGCCTGCACTAATAGCTAAAATACAAATAATTTTCTTTTTTGTTTTTTTACTTTATTTTCAATTCATATGTCTAATATATAGAAATAAAAGAAAGGCTTCTGTCTTATTCCTTTGTTTTCAACATGCATAGACAATTCCATTAGTCTTGCATACAATCTAATTAACTATATAATATATACAGAAAAAAGTTTATTTATTAATTATGTGAATGTCTCGACATAGAGATGCGTTTTTTTGTTTTGTTTATTTATTTTATCTTTTCATTAATTAAAATATAATAAATTAATTGAAATTAATCTAATTATTATTATATCAAAAAAATAAATTATGATAACAAATATTAATCTATTCTATATGTAGTAGAGTTGTTCATTTTGTAGTTATTCAAGGTTAAATATTCTTGTAAATGAAAAAAAAAATGTCTCGAGAGAAATGTATCTTAAACATGGAATTTTCTTCAGACAAAACAAATAATGAAAACCGATATTTAATTTAAGTGAACAATGCAGACATATGTCGTGCATTATTTTCAAGTGTTCATATAGTACTCAATCTTATAAAACAAAAAAAAACAAAAAAAAAGAAGAAAAGGAATAATAGCAAACATGCATTCATTATCAAGCTGGTCAAATTCTTATGTTGATATAAGATGAAGCCAACAATAAATGTTGCGTGTAAAATGTGCCTATAGCTCAAAATGAAAAGATATAGAATAATAAATGATCAAAAAGTCAATAGACTTATACACAAGAGATTTCTTTTTTTGTTCTTTTCATTCATAAATCACAAATATTTACCAACATCAAGGCAAGATAGACTTTACATTAAAGTTAAATTCTATTTAGATATAAACAAGAAGATAATCAAAATTCTATATATAGATTCTTTACATTTCAGGAAAAGAAAAGTCTTAATGTTAAGGTTTTTCTCTGGTCTGTTGTATGAAAAAAAGAACAACAACCTTCATCGTAGTTGATAAATTGACATTTTCATTTTCTAATTAATAATTCTTAATCTAATCTCAAGCGTATCATTAGAATATGAAATACTGAATATTCTGCATACGAATTGTCTGATCTTTTAAATTGACTCTTATCTATAGATATATACCTCTTTGCCATGAATCTCTATGATCATAATTTTTTCCTGTACATGAAAATTGTATAACAATTCCAAATAACATAATTATTGGTAAAATCAAAGCTATTATCCAATGACGAATACATAATGTTGGTGTTGATTCAAATAATAAACGTTTATGAATAAAATGAAGTAAAACAGATGATTGAAGAAAATAATCTAATACAAGTGTTTGACATACACCTGCTAAACATGATGATGTTACAATTAACATTGTCTTTTGAAAACGTAACGTTATAATAGCACATATTAAACCTAATAATAAAATAAGACCAATAGGTAACCAAAATGATGTGGTAATACCATTTGCACGATTTTTCATATCTATAGTAATAAATGTTATTATTGAAAGTGTTAAACCAAAACAAAAACCATTTATAAATAAACCAACATATTGTAAAAGTGCACATATTAAACCAAATAATGTTGCAATTGAACATGATACACCAATTAATTGTGATTGAGTCATTGTTGGTTGTGTTAATAATATAATATAAAGAAGAAGTGATCCAAGACTAAATGATGTTACAAACATTGTAAAACGCCACCAACGATAACCTATAACAAAAAAATTTTTTTTTTCTATTTATAAAAAAAAAAATTCTTCAATATATAAAATTTACCAAGAAGTGCATAAAATAATCCAATAAAAGCAAGTGATGTATATGCAATAAACCAATATAGATCATAATCAATAGGTAAATTTAAATTACAATAATCATCTATCATTGTTTTATTTTTTGATAACCAAGATGTATTAAGATTTCTCATATTAGTCTAGAATGAATGATCCTTACAAAAAAATTTTATCATCTGATAAACAAGACATTTAATTAGATCGATGTGAATGTATAGATACGTAGGTATGTAACTATGATAATTACGTCAGATGAAAAGTTCACCCTTAAGTATAAGCATAGTTCAATAACATTCATCTTTTTTTTTTTTTTGTTTTATGATTGACAAGGATATTAACATCAGCAGTTGTTCGTTATTCTCATCTTAGAAATTTCTTTCTTCTTCTTTGTAACAAGTCAAGGTTAATCAAAAAAAGCAAAAAAACTTACTTGAATGAATAACTATATGCACAATGCTTTTGAGTTTCATATAAATAAGACGGGATGCTCGTCTTCGCTCTTCTTTTTTTTTTTTTTTTTTTTCTATATATATATATATCTCTTCACTTTCTCTTTCCTCTTCTCTGATTAACTATTGTAGAGTGTGCAAATGTAAAGTGGACGAAGAGAGAGAGAAAGCTTACTAAATACAACTGTATTACAAACGCTTCGATTACATAAGAGTTTTTTTCTTTCTGCTCTATAAGAACTGTAGAATGAAAGAAAAATACAATGTTGATGAACAGTTTCTATCTGCATAATTAAGTAGAATCTTTCTATAGACAGACAGTTCACTGAATTAATATGAAACTCATGGCAGCAGAAAGAATACAATGACACATGTATTCTGTCTACTCGTGTCATATACATACAACACGACAAGATTTTGTCTATTTCTATTTTTTTTTTCTTTCGTTCTTTCTCTCTCTCTCTCTCTCAATAAAGCAACGATATAGAGAGAGAGCAAAGCAAGTCAATCAGGAATGCGGGCAAGTAAGAACAAACCAGCTGATATGTCGGTTGACCTCTTACATTTTTTTTTCTTCTTCTTCTATATACAAAGTTTATACTTTATTGATTAAGCACACAAAAAAAAGAAGAGGAAATATAAAAAAAAAAAAAGATAGAGAAATCAATCATCGTGTTGTTGTTCACGATAAATTTGTGCAAGTTCATTGGTTTTTGCTTGTTGTTTTTTAATCGTATCAACTAATGAATCAGTACGATCATCTGATCGAAGACTAAATAAAAACAAAAGAAATACATGAAGGGTATTTAAATTGACATAAAATCATTTTCTTTTTTTTTTTTTTGTCTTCTATTTACTATCGTTTTGATTTAAGTGTTTTTCGACATGTTGGACAAACTTTATTTTCAGATTTAAGCCAACGATGAATACAATCAGCACAAAAACGATGTAAACATGTTGTTGTTACCATTGTTTTATTGAATAAATCGAGACAAATGGGACACTAAAAATTAAAAAATAATAAATAATAAAAACAATTGATGTTAATGTTTTTTTTTTTTGTTTTTACTGAAAGACTTTTAAGTACAGGATCAGCTGGAACACATTGAATATAATTATCATCGATTAATGTTTGTGGTTTTCGTTGTCGATCATAATCATTTAATTCATAAAGAATATTTTCATTTGTAGAAATCAATTTCTTTGATGTTCTTTGGCTCATAATCTAAAAGAACTAAGAAAAAAAGTTTCTTTTTTTTTGATTACTAACTAACTTTGAAAACAAGGTCATTTCCTAGAATTATATGGCAAGGATAAACATATGTATTACATAACAGAATAATTTAGTTATCATACAAGTGATCAAATAACTTATCCAAGGTTAAATTATGATAATAATTCAACTAGATTGTCAATGTTATTAATTAATTTTATTTTGTCTATCATTACATGTCTGGTTTCAATAACATTTTTTTTCCTTATAGATACCACATATTGTTCTAATAAAAGACCTAAAAGGTATTGAAATATTTGATTAAACAATAGAATTTTCCGGAAAATCTGAAGCTTATTCGATGGCTTAGTCAAATACATTTCAGGCTTTTTATTAGAACGCTATTTAGTATCTATAGGCGAAAAAATCATTGAAATCTAAAGAAAACATCTGAAGAGATTCCCTTGTTAGGTTTGGCTTTAAGCAATAATCAAGTTCAATATCTATCATTAATTAAAAATACTTGAATAGAGAAATCAGAGAATATCAACTATCACATTATGATATTATTCTCAAAGAGAGTAAACATAACCTTAGGGGTTATATTTTATTTCATTTGTCATTTTAATATCGAATCTCTCTTAAGGTCCCCTTATTTCTTGAATCTTAAAAATTATCTCTCAAATGAAAAATTTATTTATTTATTTTTTTCTTTCATTTTTATTCAGAATAATAATAATAATAATAATAATAATATATTCTACATTGTTATACAATTAAACCTGAGATTTGTTCATCTGAGATATATAAAGTGCATACAAATAAAACTTGAGCATTTGTAGAAAAAAAAAAAAGGAAAAAAAAGCGAAACAAAATTAAGAATTATCTGCGAAATCTACATAATTAAATTATTTTAAGCATAAAATTCTTGTGGTGTTTTTGAATAACCATATTGATTTGGATAGAGAAGGCCTGTTGTTATTGATGAATGTGTTCTATCATCTTTATTATAATTTTGAACAATACAAATAAGAAGAATAACTGATGTTAAAATTCCAATAGCTAAACCTACAAAAATGAAATTCAATTTAGAAGATTATTTGTTTTTTTTTCTTGATTCTACTAACCACCAAGAATACCAGCAGCTATGGGTGGACGTGTTAGAAAACTTAAAATAATACGAATAGATGTAGGACGAATAGTTGATGATAATAATATAGTTGTAGTTTTAATTGTTGGTTCATTATAATCAATATCATCTTTATAATCATCATAAAATTCATTTATATCGAATGAATTTATTTTTGTATAATTTTCATTTTTCTTTTTTTGTTCGAATGTTTTTGTTATTATACGTTTAACTGTTGTTGTTGTTGAAACAGTACTACTTGTAATAATTTTTGATAGTTGATCATCATCATCATCATCATCACCATCTTCATCAGCATAATCATCTAGAGTAGCACTGCTACCACTACCTTCACTATGAATTTTTTTATCATTTAAATAATCATCATCATCATCAAATGAAAATTGTTTCGGAGAGAGAAGAGTTGAAGATGATTTATTTTTTAAATTGTTTGTTACAGTAGATTGAACAACAATAATAAAAATAGATGTGATCAAGAATCGAATAAACATTATAAACTGAAATTAAAAGACAAAAGAAAATCTTTTTGCTTTTTTTTGTGTTTTCTCGTTCTATGTTATAAGTGAACAAATAATAAACAAATAGAATCGTTATTCCTAAGCAATTGACCATTGGTCATTATTTCAACATAGATAAATTTAAGTTATTAGAATAATATTTTTTTTTTGAATTCAAATATTTTTTTGTCATTCTATTTAAAATAAAAACAAAATGTTCATACATAAACTAGATGTCGCTATAGGATAACTAGTTGAACTGAAAAATGCTTCAATTTTAAATAACTCAAACAAAAGCAAAGCACTCAAGATACTTAGGATTTTGAAGAAGCAGTGTATTCTGTACTTTACTGGAAACAACAAAGTATTGTGGTAGTACTGTGTAAATAGTAGAGATGTCAGGATTTTTGTTCGAAGAAGTCTCGGTGTTCCTCAAACCTCTTGTTGGATCACCATTAGGCAACAACTTCAAAAATTTTCCGAGGTTCTACTATGGCGCTGTCGTTGTATGCAAGGTAGAAAAAGCATTTCAATCTGATCAACTTCATGTTCAGAGACTTAAAAAATTGATGTATCTAAAATTTATCAATGAAAATGAATATTCTCACCAATTTTCTAATCTATTTCATCATCCGAAATACAATTTTTAAAAAAAATGTCTCATATACATTTGATAGTAAAAATTACTTAAACATCAACACAATTTCATATAACTCGATTACATAAATACATACGTACTTTTATTTGCTCAAGTTTAGAATGTTAAAAGATAATCATTGACATTCTGTCTAAGGCATATGTCAAACTTTAAATACTATGTGGATATAATTGCTTTTAAAATTCTTTTATCTTATATAGTCTCGAAGAGAAAGTCATCTCCTCTCTTTCGATAAGTGAAAATCGTATGTCGCACATTGTGATTGTTCTCGACATATTTTTTTTTACTCTCATGGTTTTTGTATTCAGTGATAAACTACTTTTGAAATAGAACTTATCTTATTCACATTCGAAAAAGTTTACCTCATGAGTGTTTCTTCTCTACAATTATAGATATTTTATTATGTTACTGACTTGTAATGAAAGAACATATTTTGATCTAATTTTTTTTTTGTAGATAACTACGAATGATGATACTAAAAATATACCTAAAGTTGCAGTGAAGAAGTCTCTTATTATTGAAATAATAAGTTTCTTAAAAATGTCTATATGATCTAAAAGAGCAGTTGCATGAGAATAATACTATCTCTGTAAAAGAACACTCGTTTTCAGTAAAATTTTTGGTATATTCTTGATATCATTAAACCTACGGAATGTACAAAAAATCAGATCGATGAAATATGTCGACAAATTGTCTTGTCGATGAATGATATGTAATTCAATTAATCCATCAACTATTCATACATTATTATTACCTTCGTAACTGAATAATCAACATTATAGTTGTTAGATAAATAAGAATTATTACTTGTCGTCAAATATGAAATAAACTTTCATGCATTCCCATACATATCATTGGTTCATCGGAATTTTTTTTTCTTCTTTTGACGATTATTAACTCAACTATCATAAATACAATTGTATGATTCGATTATTGAATAAGTTGAATGATCATAATCAATAAATTCATTTTCTATTTGAACACGAATATGGGTGTGAGTGTGAGTGTAGAAGAATATCCACACTCCACGTCCATCCATACCCACGAAAAAAAATAGCTGGATAGAATTTCTGACATAAAAGAACTGATCACCACAAGTTCATGGATAATCTAAAGATGAACTAAATAAAAATAAATAGGTTAATAAAACTTTTCGAATTAGAAAAATGATAATGATAAATATATTTATTGTATGAAGATGAACCAAAGAAAAAAAACTAGTTCAATATATTTTCTCAAGTTATGGAATGAAAAAACTCGAGTTCATCTAAAATATAAAGATGAACAAAGCAGAAAGAAATAGATGAATATAATTACTCAAGTAGGCATATTGCTAACCCCAGTTTCATCTATAATAAAAAAATGAACTAAAGAAAAAGAAATAGTTGAATATTATTTGTTGAATTGGTTAATTGGTGGTCCGAAGTTTATGGATAATATAAACATGAATTATAGAAAAAAAAATGATTCAATAGAATTTCTCGCATGTGGAAATCGACGACCCTAAGTTGATCCATAATATAAAGATGCACGAAAGAAAAAACAACTAGCTAAGTTTAATTTGTCAAATAAGCGGATCGATAGACCGAAATTTATCTATAATATAAAGATGAGTTAAAGAAAAAGATAAGCTGAATTTAATTTGTTCATTGGGAAAATCGATAATTCCAAGTTCATCTATAAATTATAGATGAACTAATGGAAAACAAATAGATGAATAGAATTTCCGAAAGAGGCAAATCGGTAACGCCTAGAACATCCATAATATAAAGATATAGTAAAGAAAACAAATAGCTGGATATAATTCCACAGATAAGAAAATCGATGACACAAAGTCGTGTATTATACAATGATGTATGAAACAAAAGGAAGTTGTTGAATACTATTTTTAAAACAAGAAAATCGGTAATTCCAAGTTGATCTGTAGTATAAAGATGAACTAAAGAAGAAGAAAGTACCTGAATATATATTCTCAAATAAGCAGATTGATAAGTACATGTTCATTTATATTGTCAAGATTAGCAAAAGAAGAAATATTTGTTCACTATTATTTGTTGAATAATCGAAACCCTAGGAACAATTTCATAAATAATATCTAGATGAGAAAACGATAGAAGAACTAGCCAGGAGTATACCAGTTTCAGTTCTAATCGATTCTATTTCCATTTCTTGGCTTGAAATTGGTTTTTGTAGACTTACGAATTTAGCATATATGCAAATAAATTCATAGTCGGTTCGAAGTTTTTCAAGACTAATTCTAAACCAATTCAAATTCAAATTCGAACTAATTTCAAGTCTAATTTCGACTAATTCTAAGAATTGGAATTAGATGTCTCCAGAACTAGCTGATTTTTTGTTTTTAGTCAGAAAAATGATAAAGTGAAGTTGAAATATAACAGAAAGATACATGAAAGGAAAAATGTGGATGTAGATGTGCTGTGTTTTTGTACAAAATGTTTTTAATTAAATCTCTTCTCTGGAAGCCATTCGCTGTACATTTCTGTAGAACTATTTCAGCTTCCGATAGATCGATGGGTCCGCCACAGATCAGTTCTATGGACAGTTTTCAAGTAGTCGCTTGAATGTCTACAAAGTGTTCGAAATTTTAGCAAAGTCAAAGCGTTTGGTTTTACTTGACATTTCATAGTCGAGTCGTTGCAACCTTTGGGATATAGAGAGAAGAGAAGTTTCCAGCACTAGTAGCCAGAGTTGACTATTGTCAAGCGCCTAAATTAAATGTGAATTATTTTTCTTATATGAAAGTTATATAATCAATTTATTTTAAAAAAAGATGCTTAGAAAACCCTGTTTGCTACTTTATTACTCGCCATTTCGTTTGAAACATTAAATATAAAATATTTTCTTTTTTGAAAAAAAAATTTTTGAATGTCCCCAACTAAAGGCAAAGTCTCGTTAGAGTTCTAGATGGCATAGAAACACGTTATTTGATAAATATGTCATCTGATAAGTCACTGTTTCATTTGATAAGCTATTAAATCAATCTATAGAAATTTTTTTGAAAGACTCAAAGTGAAAAAAAAGTCGTCATAACTATGTCTTCGTTCACTGGCCTTATCGACTTTGTTGTTAATTGTAATTAGTTGAAAATCAATATATTTTTTGAAAAATTATAAAATTAAGGTAAGATATATGACAGAAGGATAGAGTTGATTTTGTTTTGAATGAAGCTGTCTTACTTTTGTATGGAAGTGTACCTTTTGAAATCGAGTACCATTTGGAATGTGGGTGTAGGTGTGGGGTGTGGGTATGGGTGTGAATGGACTCAGAGTACACCCACACACAACCTTACCCACACCCACACCCACACCCTTCCTCTCAATGTTCTGTGTAAGAATTGACAGCCTACAACAAATAATATCGAATATCATAGTTCAACATTTTATTCATTCATATGTACTATCGATAAGAGAGAAACATCTTTTTTTCATAGACATCACAAAATTTTTCACAACATTAATATCAATATTTTCGAATTCTTCAGCTAAAAATAGTTCGAGCTCATCAGTATTTATTGATTTTCTTTTTTCTACGTTGCGTTTCACGATCGATGAGATATTTTCAATGGGAATCACATCAAGACTATTCGATGGCCAGTCTAATAATTGTGGTACATTCTCGTTGATAAAGTCTTTACAAATATTACTCGTATGTTTGAGGTCATTGTTCTGCTATTAACGCAGATTTGGACCAAACTGGTCTAAAAACGAAAGAATACACAAGTAACGCTACATTATTTTCTTTCATTACTCACATGTGCCAGCTGGAAGAAGATAATCTTCAAGGATAGAAACATAATGTGGATCATCAAGGCTGCATCGAAACGTGTGACAGTCCAGACGAGCAAAAGATGACAGAGGACGCCAGACATGACTAGTCTTGAATGTCCACACTACCATCTGGTCTAGTCTGACATGACTTGCAATTCATCAGGACTGGTTATCTTGACGGCGTATGTCGTGTGACTAAATATAGACTGGTCCAGACTGTGTCCATTACCTGTCATGACTAGTCCATTTTGTCTATCCATATTGTCCACACTCGTCAGTAAAACAGAAAGTCCAGAAAGATAGATGACGACAGATGGATTCGAACATTGAATTCGACAATATTGTATGCCTCACTAATCTGGACTGTTTCAAATAATAAACTAGTCTAAACTCGCCAAACAGTCTCTTTTACTTCGACCTAGCTCTCCAGACAGTTTGCTAGACTGGTTCCTTATGATATTAAAAAGGTGTATAATGTTGTACAGGAAAATTTTTAAGCATTTGCATTATTTCTTACAGAATGTGATTCAGAATTAGATGCGTTTATA